GTCTGGTCGCAGTAGGAAGTGGCAGATCGACATTCCTTCGTGCATTGTCGCCATAATAATGTAAAAGCTTCTTCTCCTAGCAACCTTCTTCTCCACTAGCATCTGCAATTTAGGATATTCACTTTCCACAAAGCTGGTTTGCATGTGTGACTTTCTGATAATTTCGCTTGGGTTTTCTGTCCATATTTTAAAAGATAAAGGGGTGTCTATATCTAAAAATGTGAAAATCAACAATTTTCTTGTCAGCTTACCAGCTACGTCTACTATGAGGTTTGTTTCCATTTACACATGAAGCAAAACTCACACACAATTATGGCTTGTGGACTCCATCATGTGTCCATAAACACACACACACACACAGACACACACACACACACACACACACACACAGACACACACACACACACACACACACACACACACACACACACACACACACACACACACACACACACACACACACACACACACACACACACACACACACACACATACACACACACACACACACACACACACACACACACACACACCACACACACACACACACACACACACACACACACACACACACACACAGAGAGACCTTGGTCATGATACATCACCACCTACACACACAGTGTCATCCACAGACAACTGCTCCTGAGCCCCAACAGAGCAAAGACATTCATCATAATGACACAACACACACACAGCCACACACACACACACACACACACACACACACACACACACACACACACACACACACACACACACACACACACACACACACACACACACACACACACACACACACACGGAGAGAAAGCGACATAAAGCAACATTGCAGTCACTGATGCGTGAAGACGACTCCATCACATCGTATATCACAAATACGGTACGTGTTTCCCGCCTAAATAACATTATTATGAACAAAAACAATAATAACGGAAATGACAGAAGGCTGATGCATTTCTCCTCCATGTGTGTGTGTGTGTGTGTGTGTGTGTGTGTGTGTGTCATCCTCACAATAAAGAATGTAAAGGTCTCTCTCTCTATAGGTTGGAAGACAGATAGAATCACCACCAGCACTACTGACTCCCTTTTCTAACTCATTTCTTCTTAATCTCGACATCAGATAAGACACAATTCAAATCTGACCAGATGTCTGTCCAGGGAGTCAAATGCTGTCAAACCATCACTCCTCCTCCTCCCTCTTTCGCACCTTTCCCCGTTTTATTCCTCTCCCAGTCAATTTTCACCCTTCTTTTTCAGCAATCTCTATTTCACTTCAAGGATAAGTGTGATGTACCAGTTAGATCATCCATACTGGCCAAACAATGCCATAAAATGTTCTCTATCAGAGTCAGAATCAGGATACTCATAATTGATTAAACTGGGGGAAGTTGGGTTAAACCATTTTGACAAGAAATATCATTTTAGTTCAAACTTCTTAACCTTCATCAATGAAGAGGATCTGTGGTTCAGGAAGGACACATTTTTTGCGGCCTACATGAAAAATATAGATTCATTGTTGAGCGTTTCTTTGTTATTGACTTAAATTATGGAATCTTTAAAAAAGGAAAGAATAAGGAAAATTCTCTCATGGTTTTGGGGGAAATCTGCATAAGGACTTTAGTCTGCCGGAGGTAAAAAGAAAAACGAAAAGAATAAAAAACAGTAATACAAAATTGTACATAAAATGCATTTAAAGTGCAAAGAGGAATATCTGTTTTTGCAATCTTCCAATAAAGTCCATTATCAAAAGAAAGGGTGTTTAATATATCTAGCACACAATAATATGTTTCTCTGTGTTGTTTCCATGGTGGTATCAGCCAACGAAAGCAAGGCACACAAGCCTTTATTCACCTCCCTCTAAAACGCTGCGTTCTGTCCATACCGCCCCCTCATCTAAACAAACAGACCCTCGTATATATGTCTCACTAGAACCCTATGTTGTCTGTCACAGGACCCTTTCAGCTGTTGGCTTCGTGATTTGTGTACTTTCAGGCTTGGAAAGGGGGGAAGAGAAGATAGGAGTGGGTGGGGGGGAGGTCGTAAAGAGAATCAGTGGTCAGATATACATTTTCCCTCTGAGAGCAGCAATTGTGTGCGGTGGGTTGTGTACACACTTGGCAAGAATGAGGCATTTTCAAGCATTATCGCCAGTCTGTCTCATGTTTTCTGCACACAATGTTCTTGTTAAAGTTAGCAGCCTCACGTCCGTGTTTTCTTGAATTTTGAACACATTGCTATGTGCGAGAAATCATTTCTAAATACTGTCCGCCCTGCAGCCTCAGAAGTGTAATAATCCCTGAATCTAATAGTTTCAGGATTCAACACAGTGTCGAAGAGGTGAGGGGTCACATATTTCCCATAGAGCCAGCGAGTTTAGTCTTCAGAGTTAGAGTAAGAGGGGAAAGTAAAGGGCAGAGGTCCTGCCCCTTTTTTCCTGAATCTCTCACTTTACGTCCTTTCATGTTCCCAGCCCTGATAAGAATGAATAGAGAGAGATTGGACTGTTAGTTCCACTTAGTTCTCATATGATCTCAGCTAATATTTGACAAGTCTAATGTTGTCAGGAGCTGTCAACATGGGAGTCTCTACAGGAAGGACAGGAAAGGGAAAGCAGCCAGTGGAAGGATGTTAAGAGGAGCAGCATGAATGCAAATGTTACCATTACTGAAGAAATAGTGCCATTTAACGCAAGGACGCAAACAAGTAAATCAAAAGATCACTTCCCCCGAGGGGCTTAATGGGCGGGCGCAAGAGGCGTGTTCGCGTAAATACAAAGTGTCATCTCCATAAGCGCTCTCATGGTTCAACCTGTCCGCCTCCTCCTCGGCTGGGTAAGAGGCCACAGATAGGCCTGTCTAATGCCGCTTCACACATTATTCATAAATCCTTCACTGCGGGGCGGATGTACCCGCAACTGGTGGTGCGAGACGCATCCAGGGGAGGAAGGGAAGGGAGGATGGGAGGGTGATGGCTTCCCTGTCCACCCCCGCTGGTCCTACGCGGGGCCCACGCCGTCACAGCCGCTGACACTGATTAATGAGAAAGCCTTCTCATCACTGTAACATCGAGGTAATAGACTACATGAGAAGTCAATGGAGGGAGGCTCTGCAGGGTGACGTGCACGCCCCAGCCTCATAAAATGCTTGAATCTGAGTAATTTTGTGATTCATGCCGTTGTATAATGGGAAACACTTGTTGCTTTTTTTGATCTCATATTGTGCCTCTGTTATACATCGGTGAAATAGAATGAGGATTTTTGGGTTGTTTAGTGCTGGGTATAGGTTGAAAAAATGACAATATCAGTATTGTTAAAGTGTTGCCAATACCAATGGAGCCTTCCTTTGATACCCATCTTGTGAATGGAAGCATGTCATTGTGTAAAATGCAACCAACACCGAGTAGAGCCATACATTAATATGGTCATCAAATGTGTCTATGACCTGGAAATGAAGGAAGAAAGTCATTTTTTCATGAATTTGAAACATTATTTTTAGCCACAATCGATAAGCCTATATTTAACAACAGAAAAGGGTTGTGACATAGTATTGTGATAGTGACAAAAAGTATGGCTGTGGTACTATATATAAATATAATATACATAATATTTATATAGTGCTATAGAGCTAACAATCATACTGCAACTGTAGTAACTTCTACATTAAACAGTCTTTTTTCAGAGAATTATAGTTAGCCTAAGGTAAAACAGTGGGTTTAGTCTACGATCAGCTACTTTATGATGAAAACAGTATTTTATAGTGAGTCAACTGAAGTTAATTTCCAGCTGCTGCATCATTTTATAAGATGTGTTATATTTATGCAGTATCCTTAAATGTTTTGCATTATGAGTCTAAATCCGTTTTTCACAACACCACCCACACACACAAACACATAGACACATATTCCCCCTTCATTACGTTAGTTCCATTCTTTTACACCATGACTCACCATAAAGTCAAGTGTAGCATCCCAACAAACACTGTGGATGTACGGGGAACAAATACCTACACAGAAAGATAAAAGAGACAACTGCAGCAGCACATTGTAACCTATATTTGATCTGGTGGGGAAACAAACATGATCCATCAACAAGGCGCTGTGAGCTGAGGGGACATAAGTGGGATATGCACTGTGAACAAAAAAAACACATGACCATGATGTTGGGATGAAAACCTCCCTTTGTCCCTGCTCTACACATTCCGGAGCGTAACTGAATTAAAGCAAATCCAATTGAAAAACACGGGATACCGGTCATCCATGCATTCCTGCATTCACTCAAAAAGCTCCATTCACTCCTATGTGTATTGTGAGTGTATTTTTCTGCAAATGCATCCAAGTGTCAAAAGTGTGGAGAATAACAGGGCGCAGAAAAACGCCTCGGGTTAAATCATGTGATTGAGATCACCTGTCTTCCACCCTGAGCTTTTTCTGAACCAACAGAGAGAATAGACGGATCGACTTTGTGCTCTTGTCTCAGCATGGTGCGGTCCCGACCGGCTGCACAGTCCCGAGCACACCGCTTCCAGCCCCGGAGACCCACAGACATTATGATGGGCGGCAGCCGCAAATCAAAGCAACTTCCCCTTCTCTGTGCCACGGAGCGAGATGGGGAACCGATGCTCGAAAAGAGTCGACCCTGCTTCAACAATTTGACGACATGAAGCAGATAAACAGCTTCATAAAGACAAGGTTTGTTCACGGCGGTGGCGTTAATTCCCCATAATGGCGTTCATTCATCACCATCCTGTCTATAGCTGATAACAGCCCCGGGCGCTCTCCGTGCAATTTATAGACGGATATTAATAACAACAAGGCATAACTAACACAATCACACAGAGATATAGAAACGCCGGCTATAGCGTTCATTGTGACCCCGATTCAAGTCACATATCCAGCAGCGGAGCAACATTTCCACATCGGACAGCTGCTTTTCAGGACAGTAAAGATCACACACACTCAAAAAAAGCAGACATTCACACGCGAAAAAGAGAAAGATAACTCACATTCTGTCTCCGGGAACAAGCAGGCGACTCTCCACCATCATATCGGGCAGAAAATCCAGATTGTAGGATGAAGTCATGTTGCCTGCCTGCCCTGTGTGTGTGCGTGTGTGTGCGTACAGTATCTTGTGTGTGTGCGCCTCCGCCGTGGTGCGCCCTGCCTGATAAATAAAAAGGAGCGTCGCTCTCGCCCAAACTGCGCCTGGCCGCGGAGACGGAGAGGGACAGGTGCAAGAGCCGAGACCTCCCTAAAGGCAGTGTAGCCAGCCGTATACACTCTGTCCGCATCCAGCAGTTGTCACATTCTCCACCTCCTCGCTCCCATTCGCTTCTCCTGCCTCTCTTCCACCGGTCCTGTCTGAGATTTCGCTCTGCAACAGCGCAACTGACGGACTGTTGGAGAACCAGGTGCCGATCCGGGGAGGCGTGGCGCATAACGCTGCAGCTGATCTTTAACTATTAGGTCTCCTCAGCTATAGCTGTCTTTAACCGCTGTGTCTTTAACCATTAGCCTTCATTATTGCCACACTCGTCTTAAAAAAACAAGGCTTCAATTATTTAGGCTACTAAGATGTTCCTCACTCGCCTTCAAACAAAATGTGTTCACTTATTTAAGACTCAAACTGTCCTGGAGGATTTGTATTATCTCCCTGACCTGAAACAACATGATCTCCCTGACCTGAAACAACAGGGCTGTTTTCTGCCTGACCGCCCGCTAAATACAATGCACAATCATGATTCAGAGTATATAAAAGGCAGACTGAGAATATAATATCACCCATGCTTCAGTATTTCGACTTCATAAAAGCATGGCCAGTTAGGTGATTTACAATCCAATGAGTTTGCCAAATTTGGAGAGGTGCAATTACGCATGGGGATAGCTTGGTAATAATGAACCAGCCCATAATTTAGCTGCACATTTGCTGACTCTATTTTACGCCGCGTTAATTGTGTGGATGCAGTGTGCCTCCCTGTGGAACGGGAATGGGCTTGAATGCACCCCTGTACCAGGTTGCCCCACTTCCTCCCTCCTCTGTGGGAGAAATGAGGGGAGGCACTCTAGTAAAAATAATGAGCCTCTCTTAGACTGAGAGAGGCGGTTCTCTGGGGGAAGAATATGAGTATCTGGGTCAATGGTAAAAAAGAAAAAGTGCTCAGTATGCACACATTCAGCCGGGTAAGTGTATGGCGTGGGTGGGACTTGGCCCACGGCTCTGCTGGGGGGTCAGTCTACATGTTTGCTTGCAAGGAGCGAGGTCATAGTATGGATGGGAAAAGCTGATCCTACATCAGCCCCCGAGGGCTCGCAGTGTCCCAGGAGTGGGGACGATGTTGCATGTTTCACCGCACTTGACCCTTCTTCACAGAAAGGGGCTGTCCAGGACATTATTAACCAACTGCTGCAACGTACTGAGTTCCCATCATCACAGGCTTTCCTGTTTCAGGACTGAATGTGATGCTAATGGCTGCTGCTTTAGGTGAACCCAAATCCAACAAAGTTGTAAAGTGATTACAGATTCACACAAGGCAGCAATGCAATAAGACATCACAATAATTCATGCACGTATTTTCAACAGATTTTTCAAATCCTTGCTTTATCTAAACCGAGTCATTTATTCAAACAGCAGCCGTATCTTTTCAATCATTGTCTTCTGCTCATTATTGTTCTGTTCACAAAAAACAAACGTCCCACAATTATATTTCCTAAAAATGCTGACTCATACCCAGTTTTTCTGACTCATTCCTGTAGCGCTCTATAGTCTTCATTGGAACCACTTTAGGAATAGTACCAATGAAAATAACCATTGACAATGCTTTCTTGTGACATATATACAACCTTTTTTTCTTGGGACATATGTAAGACACATATAAACCATGGAAATTAATTACTACATGAGAAGCTTTAATAATAATTGTGGTTAATGACAGGAGGTAGCAAAATAACTGAATGTGCATGTTGCTCTGTGTTTGCCGGAAGCTTAGGAACACCTGTCTCACCATGAGCAGGCGTGTCTGCTGTTGAAGCGAAAATGCAGCGGGTAGAGCATGTTCTCGTGCTAAACAATCATGCAATCAAATGTTCTCATTTGCTTTCGAAATTCCAAACAGATCCGTTCCTCCTGTTCGCTAAAACAAAATGCGTCCATCCATTAATAAAACATGCACATTCTCAATGTTCTATGTAGTCATGTGAAACCGTCAGATTTAATATGCAATTTGTGTTGCAGCTGTTTTAATATTGCATTTAATATGATACATGTGTTTGTTAGCATGTGTGCAGCTATGTGAACACTGCGGTGGTTCTACTCTGCACATTGAGGTGCAAAGGCTTGGATTTGAAAAGCAAGTCATTTTGGCCTCAAGATCAACATTTATGGAATATCTTCAAGGATCCTGCATTGACATCTACTTCCATCCAGATAATACTCAATGCTGACCAACAGATTATTGTAAATGTAACAGTAAGGTCGATGCTGAATAAATCCTGCCTTTGTGTGTACTCCATATAATAACGCAGCCTTGCATTGGTTAATAATGGAAGCTTTTTTCCGTGGACCTTCGTGCACTCATGTAATATGCACTGAATGGCAGGAGGACATACATAAGTTGGTCTGACATAATTTAAAACATTTTTAAAATGTGCCTATTACTTACTGTACTTGCTTGAAATTATTTCGTTCCATTATGAAAGATGTATGCAAGAACTTTTGAACATGCATGTACAGAATATGCCATTCCACAAATACAGAAAACAGCAATACTTAGTGAGAAATCCTCACATTTGAAAAGCTGAACCTTTTTTTATGGCTTAAAGGGGACCTATCATGCAAAATGCACTTTTGTACGTATTTTATACATGAATATGTGTCCCAGTGTGTCAGGGAACTCACCAAGTGTCAGAAAACACAACCCTCTCTCTTTTTCTCCATACCCAAATCTCTAAAAACGGGGCTGCAACGGATCTGATACAGACTGATACAGATTTGAAATATCTCTGACGTCAGAAACGAGGAGCTCCACCTATATGGGCAACTCTCCACCTATCAGGAGGAGACAGCAACGGCCATTGCCGTTCGAAAGCGCTGGAGACGCTGTAGTACATATGCCAGGCCTGTAGGTGGCGCTGTAGTCTGCAACAAAAGCAGCGAAGAAGACTTCTCACAGAATCAGCCCTTGCAAAAACAGGGCTAAAAAAGAGCAAATAGAGCGAAATGAGGCATGGCTAAAATGCAGGATCTGTTCCTTTCACATATTTCTTTTTAAAAATAAGTGGCAGGTGGTTGCAACCCAAGTAATCATCTGCTCAGTCTCTTCAAAACAAAAACATCTTGCTTAATTTTCAACGTTTCCTAAAGACCTGATGCTATCAGAAACTGAAATATCACAGTCTGTGAGATTTTGGAAAGAAGCAACAGAGCCTATCACTTTTTCTTTCAAACACAAAATCACCAGGAGGCCATCATATCTTGAAGACCAGAATAACAAGTACAGTAACTAAAATGAAACAAGCAATTGGTGTAACAACTTTCAATGGTTGCCATTTTACAGATCATATAAAGGAATTGGTTGTCATTGCAACGGCCCCCCCCCCCCCCATTTTGTTGTGGGCTTCGGTTATGACGCTTCAAATTTAATGACGCCTTAATCAAACTGATATGAATGGAGGAGCTGTATGCTGAATTGTAGGACGAAGGCATTAACAACACCCAATCCGGGAGCAAATATGGTAGGGCCTGTCACAAGGTAGCCATTCCCTAACACATATGTTGCTTTATCCTCTAGTTAACTCCTAATGGGAGCATCATTTAAAAAATGAACATCATGCTGTGTTAAAGAAAACTCAATTGAGACCATCAACTCATTTGAAAAATGTTTACAAGGGTAATATTACATTGCATTTAATAAATCAATTGAGTCAGTAGGTTCATTTCTTATAGATTTCTAGACAATCAAATGCAACCAATGGAGTCGCCACCTGTTGAATATTAGTAAGGATACAAGGCTTTATCGTTTTTTTAAAACAGATAATGGCTCACAATTCACAACATGAACATCATACTAAAAAATACTTGAATTTTCTCATAGACTTCTATACAATCAGTCGCAACTACTGGAGTCGCCACCTGTTGAATATTATTAAGGATACCAGGATTTGTCTTCGTTTTTTCAGATAATTTCAAAAAATTCACAACATGAATATCATACTAAATTTTAAAAATACTTGGATTTTCTCATAGACTTCTATACAATCAGTCGCAACCAATGGAGGCCCCACCTGCTGGATATTAGTGATAATGCAAGTACATTTAATGTATCACCTTTCTAACCTATAGAAGATGGGGCTTGGTCCATTTCCAAGCTGCCCCCAACAGAAAAGCATCCTTGAGCCTAAATTCTACTCAAATATATAGTGAACGTAACATACATTGTGTTGTACTGTATCTTCCCGCTATGGTTGCTGTTGTTCTGCCCTTTTCCCACCCTCAGCTATCCCCTCTCTTCACCCTAGGGCCCCTTGCTCTCCCAGATCCCCCCCATGGCAAGGTCTCCCTCCAACCTCCCATGCTCCCATTCTTCTCTTTCTTTCTCGCCTCTTCTCTCTGTCTAGTTATTTCTATCTTCTCACCACCTTAATCTCTCTCACCTCAGTCTGTGGGGCTCAGTTGCCTGAACATCAAAAATCGATCACTTAGAAAGGAGGAGAGGGGAGGGGGGCAGAGAAGGAGGAGCAGACAGGACGGGGTGAGGAAAAAGCGACAGGACGAACAAATAGGTGGTCTTTCATAGCGAATTAAAAAAAATAAAGCTTTTAAAGTAGCCTCTATGTTATCTCAGACACTGTAGATGTGTCTCTATGCTTCCTTGCTTCTTACCCAGAGGAGAGGATTGTGGGTAGCTGATGGTGCCGTCTTTTCACACGTGAATATTTAATGAAGAGCTCATGAATAATTCAGAATAGCAAGCAGCTGCGTTTGAGCCTAAGTGGACATGTGAGGAGCCCGAAACCAGACTGACCCGACTGCTAACGTTCATCCACAGCGCTCACACAGACACGTAAAACACATCCGGATCAGTGTGTAATCTACGCTACATGTGTGTGTGTTTGTAGTTGAATCGCTTCTTAAATGAAAGGAAGACTCAGGCATCCCAATCTAGTCTCTCTTCTCTACTTTCCTATTCTGTCAAGACTGAAAACCAAACAAAAACAGAGATGGAGTACTCCCCCACACCTCTCTCTAACACTCTCTCCATCACTCTCACTGCCACTCACTGTTCAATCTTCAAATCTCATTCCCATATTTTCCCCAGCCCTCCTCTCTCTCCTCCATTTTCATGCCTTTCATG